GGGAGTCGCGTGTGTCCCTGCTGTTCCGGCTCTTCTCTGGGGCAGAACAGGTGGTGTGTTGGTTGACTGTGTCCAAAACCATATTTAAGCAGATGAACTAGAGAGTTTGAAACAATATCCCAGTGAACTGACAAATGAAAAGTAAACTAAACCCACTTCTGCAACAAAACAGGCAGTTGATTCACGTTCAGATGACCGTGAAGTTGAGAATGGGGAGGAGGAGTGAAAGCAGATGCTGGGATGATAATGCAGGTCCTGGAGAACAGGGGCAAAACCTGTTGGCTTCTGTGATGAATCGGACCGTGGGAGAAACCACGTGGCTGCTCCTAGGTGCCCGGAGAATCCAGCACTGGTCAGGGACTGCGGCTCATGACACGGGCCTCCAGGGTCGCACCATAGCCCACCGGGACCCCGGCCAAAGGCTTAGTCGCCTTCAGCCCTGAGAGTTGCCAGTTCCAATCTTCCGTTTCATAAGATTTGTTGAGAAATCTGCTGCATTTTCGGTCTTCGCTCAGAAATGATAGTAAATGACTGGCGTAGCGTTGATTGTACTTCAGGTGAAATGCTGTTATGCCGACAGTTCTGTAGGAATACTCAGTCTTTCGGTTCCCTGTAAATGTAGAAACCACTTAACAGCAAAATCTGACTTGGAAGTTGCTCTCTTTGAGCTGTAGAAAACTTTTCAAATAACCCAGGCACCTGCCGCTGGCGACGTGAACTGACTAGAGCCAGGGCTTTGCCTCCTGGAGCCGCGCTGGGAAAGTGTTGTCCCTTCGATCTTGCTGACGAGTTTATCTCGCATCCTCATAGTGTAATGAAAACAGCAAGGCTTACAACTGTACAGCTAGGTTCCCCCCACCCCCCGCAAGCTTGTCGTTCACGTAGGATTAAAAAAAAATAGTGTGAATTGGCAAAACCCTTTCACCCTGTCTTGGAAACGTGTTTGTAATTCTCAGAAAGTGCACTTGAGCAGCTCGACAGCCTTTATGATTAAATTCCATGCTGGTTTTGGGGGGTGCGTGTTGTATTGGTTGGTGGGTATCTGGAGCTGTGGTGTCCAGATGGATGCTGTGGGCTCTGAACTTCTAACTCTGAGGCCTCAAAGTTGTAAGCAAGTGACTGAGCTGTTCCCTGTGCGTGGGCTATGAGTGTAAGTTCTGGAAGGTGCTGCTGAGTTACTGGGGAGAATTTCACAGTGTGGAGGCTCTCCGTCCGACTCCAGTGGGTAATTTCAGTTCTGTCAATGTCATTAGCCTGAGGTAAAGTTAATTTTCAGAGAAAGGCTTTATTTACAAACGTGAAACTGTATGTGAGTTATCCAGAAAGATCTAGTGTGGATACACTTTAGCATTTGTGGCCTTTTAAATTTAAGAATCAAAATACATTTCTCAGAAATATTTTCTTTTTATTAACCTATGATTTAACTCAAAGACATACTTTTAACTTTTAAATTCACTTTTTAGAGAATTTTCAAGAACCTAAGAGAACTTTATGGAA